GCGGGCGGGCTGCGCGGCCTGCGGACCGCGGGGGTCCCTTCTCCTCCCGCCGGGGCTGAGGCCGCTGCTGCGCGACCCCCGTCCTGCCCCTCACCGCGCGCCTCTCCCTGGGCTCTTGCAGCGCCTGCGGGGCCCGTCGCTTGGCTTATTTACAGCCCCCCCTCGCGACAGCCCCCAGACCGGCCCCGAACGAGCAAAGCCGGGCCCCGGGGGTGTTTTTATCCGTAGCTGGACAGCCGGTCCCGGTTCCCGCCGTCTAGGAGCGCGGAGACCTGTGCGTAAACGGGTTTTGTTGGGTATCTCAAGTTGAAGTTAACAGAACCCCGCAGGTTGCTTTAGGTAAGACTTTGGTATCTCCTAAGTCATCCCTAAGTATGTACCCCCCCTTGCAGTGGGGTGCGTGCTCTCCATCGATAGTTTAGTGAGGTTTACCGGTTTGTGTTTCTCCAAAGAAGAGCCGTGAAAAGAAAACCTGACTTCCCCCGTAACATCTCCTGCTCCAAACCCATGCCCAGTTGGATGCTCCGAACCTGGCAGTCACTCCGTGAGTCGTGTCGTCACCCTTGTCGTCTTTACTCCTGCGCCTCCCCAAGGGGGAAAGGAGCAAGAGGAATAATCAGTCGAAAAAAACTTTGTAAATAATATTTTCAGGGCCACAAAGACGAAAAACTGGAGGGAAAAGCGGTTCTTTGCGGCATCGGTCTTTAATGCGCGTGCGATCTTGGGAGCAACCCTGTAATTGTCCGTTTGCCCTTAGTCGCATCATATCGATGTTTCCTTTGTTAATGCATGAAGCACGCGATTCAGAGAAGCGTGAAATCATGAGGCAAAACTGTCTTTTGCAATTTAAGTGTCACATTTAATGCTGTTTTGAACGCCAGTTCAACACCTGCTAGGAGCTCTACAGTCAGGTTTGAGGAAGCTTTATTGTTCTGATGTGATTAGCGAGGGAACTGGGACGGAAAGCACTGACCGCCTCGCCAACGGGTTGCCTTGATGTGGAACTGAAGTTTCTGCTTTTTTCATAGCTTCCATGAAGCTGCCTCACGTGATTTGCCAACCTCTATTAAGAGAGAAATAAGATGGCTCCCCTTTTGTTGTTGTTGTGCACAGGGCAAAGCTGTTACCCTCTAGATAAGTACATTTATCTCAGTTGGAATTTACTTCGCAGCAGAAAATCTTCAGGGACTTTTGTATTCCAGAACTTTTGTGGGAGTTGGAAGACGTCCCTCAGCAGCCTGGAAGGACTGGTACTGCTTAACCAGCATGCAAACAAACTCCCTCGGCCAAGCTGCGATCATGCTTTAGCTTCTTGTCATGCATTCCCAAAGAAGGTCAGAGGGCCGCTATTTTGAGTGCAATCTTGTTATCTCCAGGCAAGTATGCTTTTTACATACAACGAGTCTTCTGAAGGGCTCCTCTAATACTACTTTTGAGTCAATGACTTGAAGTGTCTTTACTAGAGAGAGGGAACGTTTATGTCATCCTGCTCATCCTAAAGCAGCTCAAATGAATTGCAAGAGAAAATAAAAAAGGAAAAGATGTTTCCAGGCACCGAAGAACAGCTCCTCTGAGGTGCTGAGCATGATGTTTCTTAACAATAGAAAGCAGTTACAGCAGGCAGAGAATTTCCCAAAACTGTTAAAATCAAGCCTGGTAGGCGGTTACCTGGTAACAGTTATCCTCCCATTAGTGAAACCCCACAGTGTTGTGCTTTCCATGGCAGCAGACCTCAGCGGCAGATTTTTCTTTCCTCCCCTGAGATCAAGCCGTTGTGTTTTTAGTGCTTGGGAAATGCCTGGCAGAGCCTGGGAATAACATCAGTATAAAGCCAACGCAGCAAAATTGCTCATGCGCGTTCTGTTTATCGGTGGGCTTAGCCTGCCTGCAGGTATTGCTGTCGAGAGGGGAGATTCCTGTTTCTGCTTTGTCATTCAGTTAGCCTTGCCAAGAAAAATGATTTAGCAATGCATGTTGTATTCTACAGAAACCCTTATGTCTTCTGAAAAGAGCTCTTAGCATATTAAAAGAAACGAGTTAAGATGAGATGTAAACATCAAGGCTGATTTTAAGATTAGACCCGGAGAGTTGTGTATTGTACTTGTTCCCACTTTGCTGTTTTGATAATGGAAAGAGAGAGGCTGGTTTCACTTTCTGGTCCTCTAACCCTTGCACAATGTGGCAGCTTTGATGTTTTCCTCCCCGGTGGCACAGGGCAGTGCTTGTAGCTGAAACTGTGCTCCTTCAGTTGAGACCCGTCGTGCCAAAACATTTTAAAATCAGTTTGTGTTAAAACTTGTGCAATACACAATCTTTGTCTCAAAGGGAACAAGGCGACATCTGTTTACTCTGATCAGTGAATGCCTGATCTCTCCAGTGAAAACAGAGGGAAACCTGCTCTGGTGTTATTTGTGCTTGGTACCCATTTTCTTAGCCCAAGGACTTCTTAGATGCTGTTAACTGTTGCTGTAGGTGTGTGAACATCTGAGATTAGATGAGTGAAACAAGCTCTGGTTTCTTGTTATTACAGATCCCGTTCTCCCTTGGTCTTTGGAGGCTTGTCCCTTTGCTTGGTAGACTCATTCATTATCTGAAATCAGAGGTCAATGCCTTCTCTCCTGTGTTGCGTGTATCCCATTAAATCACATTTTCTCTTCCAGCTTCCAAAGAGAACAGGAAAAGTGTGAAAGCAAATTGTTTCATGATGCATGCAGAGCTCGGGAACACCTTTGCTAGTTTAAAGGGATTTTAAAGTTGCTTCTCAGTTGTGTGGCTCAAAAGTGAGGACAGAGGGTTTTTTTCCTTTTCTGTCCTTTTGCTAGGATGCTTGTACTGGTAGCTGTCTGAAATTATCAGAGGGGGTCTCAGACATCTCATGGCCTAGTCCCATGGACGGGGAGAAGGGCAGGTCTGTTTAGAGGCAGGCTTATCTGGGCTGCAGATCACACCCCTGCGTCACTTGTGGCTTTGTTTACCGACCCCTTTGTCACTGTCAGGCAGTGTCTTGCTGGAAATATTGTCCCTTTTAAGAGAGGTGGCAGCTGCAGGATCAAATGGAAGCGGTGCCAGCAGCCGCTCTGCTGTGCAGTGGCCCACGCAGGTGGATTTTTCCACGGTGCAGCGTTGGGCACCTGCAGCAGCTGGATGTGCTCCTTTCTTACAGGAAAGGTGCAGGAGCATTGCTTCGCTGGCACAAGGCCTTGGAAAGCAGGCATGAAGTGTGCCAGGGGGAAATGTTTCTGTACTTAGGAAGGGTTTGATGATGAGGACTTTTCTTCTTTCCAGCCTGGTTTTGTGGTTGGACTGACGATGTGACTTTTTATCTGGCTACATCTGTATCATGTGGTACAAAACGTGAAAGACTTTGGCTTCCAAGCCTCTTGATTTCTTGTGCTTCCGGGCATTTTGCAAGACTTCCCTAGTGATCTAAAGGGCTTCGAAGATACTGAGCTAAGGAAATGCTGGTGTTTAAATGCTTGTGCTGACAAGTAACTGTCTGCCTGGGAGGATGAGAATGCTGGCCTGGTCTGTGCTGGAGAGGATGCAGTGGCTCTGACTTTGGCGTTTGGCTCGGAGAGGGTGCAGGGTGTAGAGAAGTAACAGTGCAGGTGCTGTGGAAATGTAGGCAATTCCAACTCCTGTTACTTCCCAGGTCACAGGAGAGCTCCTAGGATTTGGGAGTTTGTGATAACAAGGTGAGGTTCTTGTAGGACCAAAACCAATAAGCCACTGCAGCGATGCCTCTCTTCATCTTTATCCAAGCCTGCTTCTAGACCCACCCCAAAGGCTCATTTTTTTAATAGCTCTTAATATTATTTTAGGCTTGATACCACACATCGCTTGCTTGGCATCTGCTGAATCATGAGCCTCCTTTATTCATGACAGACGCTAGCAATCTCAGGTCTGCTGTAAGAATACATTTCAGCCTTCCTTGCCGTATGATGCGCAGCTTTATGTGTGTTTACCAACAGGAGTGCATTGTTACCTGTTGTTGTTAATTATGACAAATTGAAATTGGACTCATTGCATTTCTGATGGAGTTCATTATAACTGGCTCTTACATTTAATACCTTTGCCAGCTTCTGGCCTGCCCTGGAGCTGGTGAAAGAGCTGCGTATCCTTTGGATGGTGTTTGACTTGACCGCTGCTTTTCGCAGAACGCGCAGCCTCTCCATTGAACTGCCCATTTCTTTGCCCATTTGTGGTGATGCCAGAGAAGTTTGATCACAGGAAGATTTTTGTCATTTTAAGGGTTGGACGTCTCCAGCTCAGGCTGTGAGGAGATCCTCTCCTTCCCAGTCTGCACGGAGCTGTGGGCAGCGCTTGTGCATGACAAAGCAAGGAGGGAGACTCTCAACGCTCAGGTTAAACCCCACAAGTGGTTTTTGTTGTTACTCAGCCCTTCGGATAATTCAGATCTGGCTTCTGTTTCCTATCTTTATTTAATGACTGTCTGGTCTGGAGAGCTACACAAGAGACTGTCTCTCTTGGCAGTATCTAAAAGTCGCCGTTACCTCCAGGCAGATGGCTGACCTGTTTTCTGAAGTGTTCCCGCTGGGTCTTAGTGGATCTGGGAGCTTCTTACTGAGTTGCCTCTTGCTGCTCCAGCGCGATCGCGTCTTGTTATTGTGTACAATAAGGTCAGCGTAGCATGGAGTGATGGAGGGAGGCTGTGGCACATCCACAGCTCCTGATGGATATTCGTGCTGTCTTTGACCCCGCCGTTGTAGGCTGAGGTCAGGGCTCTTGCGCAGTGCTCAGAGGAGCTGTTCTGCACGTGAGGAGCGTCTCTGCGGGCGCTTCTGAAGCCGTGTGCTTGCAGTGATATGCTGGGGGTGATTCTTGTGAATGGAGGGATGTTTGGTGCTGAGAAGAGAGAAATTGTGATGAGATGTTTGCATTTCCCAGCAGGGAGGAAAACTGAGGAC